GCTAACCAAACTTTACTTGTTCTCATTCCCAAAGTTTCAGATGCATCATCTCTCACCCAATTTAGGCCAATTAGTTTGTGCAATGTTATTCTCAAAATTGTTTCTAAAGTGCAAGCAAATAGGCTAAAGCGGATACTCCCAGAGATAATCTCTGAAGAGCAGTCTGCGTTCGTGCCAGGGAGGCTCATCACAGACAATATTATAACTGCATATGAGTGTTTGCATTTTATGAAGAAGAAGCGAGGCAGGAGCTCGCAATTTTGCGCCTTGAAACTAGACATGATGAAAGCTTACGATAGGGTGGAATGGGACTATCTCAAGGCCATAATGTTGAAGCTGGGTTTTAGCGACAGGTGGGTCGCTTCCATAATGAAAGTGGTGACATCAGTAACTTTTTCGGTGTTGTTCAATGGGGAGAGGACGGAGGTCTTTAAACCGTCTAGGGGGATTCGTCAAGGAGACCCCATCTCCCCATATTTGTTTTTGCTAGCAGCTGAAGGTCTCTCTTGCCTTCTAAGGAGCAGGGGGAACTCGGAAAACCTATCGGGCATCCTTGTGGCGCCCACAGCACCCCCGGTCAATCATCTTTTATTTGCAGACGACAGCCTGTTATTCGCAAAAGCAAGCACCGAAGGAGCAACGTCAATTAAAGAAGTGGTAGAGATCTATTATCAGCCCTCGGGACAACGAATTAACTTTGCAAAAAGTTCTATTCACTTCAGCAAGGGATGTCCAAACACTATCAGAGAAAGTATCAAGGTAATATTGGATGTTCCTAATGAAAGTTTGAATGAGCGATATTTGGGTATGCCCTCGGATGTTGGAAGAAGCAAGAATGGTACGTTTAAATATCTAAAGGACAGGGTGTGGAACAGGATCCAAGGATGGATGGAGCAAATCCTCTCGGCAGGGGGCAAAGAGGTGCTTATAAAGTCAGTTGCACAGGCAGTTCCAACTTTTTCGATGGCTTGCTTTATACTGCCTAGAGGTCTATGTGAGAAGTTAAATTCGATGATAAGAAGCTTCTGGTGGGGAAGCAAGAATGGCAAGCGGAAACCACACTGGGTCTCATGGGACACTATGACGATGCCAAAATATATGGGCGGACTGGGATTCAAGGATTTTGAATTATTCAACTTGGCCCTCCTAGCGCGCCAAGCATGGCGCATTCTCCAGTTTCCGGAGACCCTGAGTGCGCGTATAATTAAAGCAGTATATTTCCCTTTGTCAGATATCATGGAAGCATCGTTAGGCTCTTCTCCATCTCAAGTGTGGAGAGCCATAGTTGAAGGACGAGACATGCTAAAGCTTGGTTTGATCAGGAGAATAGGCAATGGTGCAGCAACGAAAATATGGGGAGATAATTGGATACCGAGGACCGAAAGGCTCAGACCAGTGGCAGCCCTAGTATCAGACACACCAGAACTTGTGGCCGAACTAATTGACCCGACTTCTTGCCAGTGGAATATGGCAGAGTTAGAGAGAGTTTTCTTGCCCATGGACGTACAAGCTATTCGCGCCATTCCGATCAGCACGTCATCGCAGACTGATTTCTGGGCATGGCATCACGAAAAGTCTGGTAACTTCACTGTCCATTCAGCGTACAGAATGATGGTAACAACGAAAAAAGTTAGGGAAGATTGGCTTGAAGGCAGACCAAGCACTAGTTCGAACAGGGCGGAAAAGGCATGGTCACAACTATGGAAGATCAAGGTACCATCTAAAGTTCGAGTCTTTGTTTGGCGGCTCGCACAACACTCTTTCCCTTCGGGCTCAGAGATGCATCATCGGAAAATGGCCACTAGCCCTCGATGTGTTATTTGTCAAGCAGAGAATGACTCTTGGAGACATTCGTTAATAGATTGTACCATGTCACGTTGTGTTTGGGCATTACTTGATGAATCCCTCATAGAGCACATGTGCATGAATTCTTGCTCGGATGCGAAGGAGTGGCTGTTCCACATGATGGAGACTACAACACATGAAGAATTCATCAAAATTTTATTGACACTTTGGGCGATCTGGGGTGCGCGCCGAAAGGCAATTCATGAATCTATCTACCAAAGCCCGGTGACTATTCATGGTTTTGTTACCAGTCTCATTGCCGACCTTCAAATGGTGAACACAAAACTGGATAAAGCTGCTCCAAATCTACAAGCAGCAGCGCCGAGATGGAGGCCACCGCCGGAGGGCTGGGCCAAAATTTATGTTGATGGTGGTACAAACAAGATAGGATCAAAGGGAGCAGCTGCCGTCATATGCAGGAATGATACAGGGAAGTACCTGGGGTCTTCAGCGAGGGTATTGAACAATTGCACCGACCCAGCAACTCTTGAAGCAATAGCATGCTGTGAAGCGCTGACTTTGGCGGAGGATTTAAACATTCAGAAAGTTATTATCGCATGTGATGCTTCCACAGTTATCAAGAACATCAATGAAGGTAGTAGATGCGAGTATAGCTCGGTTCTTACGGAGATTAAGGTGCGATCGAGACATTTTCTTAATGTTAATTTTGTGCACGAGGGTAGAGCAACAAACATAGAAGCTCACAATCTTGTGAAAAGTGTTTTATCACTCGAACATGGTCGATTCCTATGGCTACTCCAGCCATGGGATCCCTCTATTGTACTTCCTGTTATAGAGCAATAAAATGACCGTGTGATCCTCAAAAAAAGAAAAAGCTAGCAGGCAGACTCTCTGTTAGTGCTGTGTGCATGCACCAAGATCACACACCATGGGACCCACTGGGCCGTGGTGCTGCTGTTGACCATGCTGTACGTACACTACATATCTATCTATCTGCAGGACGTACACTACACTAAAACGCAGCATGTCCACATCAGTGGCTGTGATGCTTGTGTGGTTAGCGTGCGGTCATCTGGGTCAGGGTGGTCCAATTGACATTTTTCCGCGCACATATACAAATGTTAAATTCATCAACCAGTACATGTATTCGAATTTTGACAAATGCACTAAATTAGTTTAAGCATTCAAAGAAAAAGAAAAAATCTCAAAAGGAGTTTTTTTTTAGGGAATGCCATCGTGGCTTACTTTATTTCAACTCAAAAATAGATACATCGTCCACAAAAAAACTACGAATCAAAGAGGGAGGGTTCTCCATCCACACACATGGTGGTTCAACACTAGCCCTACTAGCTAGTTCATGAGCCACAAAAAACAAATTGAAGATTGAAAACAAAAGAGTAGATTGAAGATTGCACTATCTTAGCTTGCCGCTATGCACCTTAATGCTTGTGCCGCACGCACCCACACGCCTTGCGTCCCCGGCCTCCACCCACACCCTTGCTCTCCTCCTGCTGCCTGCAACCCGCGCCGCCGCTTGTAAGGATTCAACTGATGACTCTACGAGGAAATGATGGGGCATCTTGTGGGCTTGCCGGATTGGGCCTAAGCCTGGTCATGTGTTGGGTCGGGTTGGGTTTTGGAACGGGCTTGAAAATGCTTGATCATGGCCCGAAGCCTGAATGTCTCTATTTTCTCAAGCGTAGGTATGGCTCATACACAAGCCGAAAAGCTCGGCTCGAACGCAGTTTTTCAGTACGTGCACATGGAAGCCCAAACACCTGACCTGAAAAGCATAAAAGAGAAGCCCAAAGCCGGCCCAAATTTTGTTTCAGGCTACAAAGTGAAGCATGAGCCCGGCCCGAGAGGTAAGCCTGACCCGTCCTATTTTTTTAGCTGGGTAGTCGGGTCGGGCTGTCCATGATCAGGTTTCATTGAGCTTTGTTGCCCTAGCTAATGTTTTTTAGGCTAAAGTAATGGGTTGCGCTGGCAAAATCTCAGGGTGGTCCATGACCACCCTGGCCACCCTCTGGCTTCGCCAATGCGTCTTGTCATACGCTGCACCCGGTGCGAATCCATCCTCAATTAGTGTTTACGTGCATTTTGCTGCACCGATCTAATCTGATCAATGCGACAATATCAATGATGCCGATCGTATATATTTTCTTCGGCGCTTGGAGATACGGGGGGAGTTGCCGCAAAAAAAAGGAGGAGAGGCACCACCAATCTAGAAATAAATCACTCTATTTGAAATCCGAGTGATTTGTAGGAAATTTCAACTGAGTGATATAGTTTAGCAAATCTTAAATATCGCACGTCAAAAAAAAAATTCCTCTTTTGGCTGAAATATATGGATGACTCTTGTGGCCGACAAAGGCCCTTTGTCCGTGCTCCAAGCATGGCGCACCGTCCGACCATCGGCTCTAAACCTAGCTAACTCCCAGGTACCCCTACGCGATAGTGAAACATAATTGGCAGTCGGGTACTCGGGTGTGCAAACTTGCAAAGGACTCGTTCCCGTTCCCAGTCCACACCACATCAAGTAACTGGCCTACGGTGTGGTGGGCCTCTGCACCCTCGCCGACACCTCAAACATCACTGCTGTACAACTCCAAAAAAAAAAACCATCTCCGCTGTACAGGCCCAGAGCTCGACCAGACGGCCAGATGTTCCAAACCCAACAGCGGCAGTGGCCACAGAAACTGCCATGCGACCTTAACTACGTCCATGCACCAAGGTCGCACCGTACGTAGGCCCCACCGCGCCGTGGTACTGCTGTGTGTTGACCTTGCTGTACGTACGTACGTACGTAGCGTACCTGTATCCATCCATCTATCTATCTGCAGGACGTACGCTGCACTAATGCGGCGGCGTATCCGTCCACAGGCTGTGGTCAGCGCCCTGCGTTAATGAACCATCATCAATCTGCACTAGTATTACATTTGGCCTCACTGAGACACCGATCGATCCAGTCCGATCAATGTCACGATATCGCATGTTGATTATCGTATATCCCGAGAAAGATCGCGCCTGAGCCTGACTGAGCATCCGTCCATCTCTTGCCGCCCGCGTCTTCCCCCCTGACCCTGACCCCGACCCCGAGCGGCGATATATAAGCCGGTGTGCGGGCGCGGCACCTGACGTACCTGCCATCAGGCGAGAGAGTGGCCAGTGCACCGCGCGATCGATCGACCGGGATGCCGAAGCTGCAGCGGTACAGGGGCGTCAGGCAGAGGCACTGGGGCTCCTGGGTCTCCGAGATCCGCCACCCGCTCATGTACGTCCATAAACTGTACTATATTCCTGTGCGATTCCACCTCTGTCGGTGCAGTTTTCTTTGAGTGGCAGGTGCTCGCCACGTACGATCGACATGTTCTGATGTGTGTTTGCGTTTTGGGCTGCGGTGGTGGGTGCAGGAAGACGAGGATCTGGCTGGGCACGTACGAGACGGCGGAGGACGCGGCGCGGGCGTACGACGAGGCGGCGAGGCTCATGAGCGGGCCCGCGGCGCGCACCAACTTCCCCTCCACAAACGGTGTCGCCGCCGCCGGCGGATGCCTCTCAGCGACCCTGCGCGCCAAGCTGGAGAAATGCTGCATGTCGACGCCGGCGCCGGTGCAAAACGTCGAGGCGGCCAAGGCGGCGAGGACCGGAGGCGGCGCCGCTCGCCGAAACAGGGTCGAGGACGTCGTCAAGCGCGTGGACGAGGAGGAGGAGTGCATCGAGGAGATGATCAGGGAGCTCACCCACTACGGCTCCGTGGAGATCGTCGCCCCCTCCGCCTGCTCCAGCTCCGTCGTCTAGCTCTAGCCCGCCGACCACCGTCCAGCCAGACCGGCCGCTCCCCTAGCTAGCCAGCCAGTCCATCTCCATGTCCATGTCCATCAGAACATTCCCTTCGTCCCTCCCGACTTGTTTTTGTTAGGTAAAGAAAAATAACATGTACTGTAAACCAGTACTAATATACACCCCATATCCATCCATTAGCCGCCATGGATCAGCATCGGCACATATCATGTACACTCCATTAGCCGGAGAAAACGGAGGAGCATCATCGCATCGGGCAATGGCCTTGTCGTCGTCGTCGGCAGCATTGCAATAACCGGCCGGGGACCCTTTCCCTAGGATCGTGCTGTGCTGCGTCTGTCTGCAACGGGAAGGGGACCGGGGATCTTTCAGGATAAGGGGGCTCGATTTGGGTCATGATGTGAAAACTGTGTCCTGCTCTGTCGCGTAGCAGCGTGCAACTGGCCGTCGGGGAGCCTCCTCTCTTTTCTCTTGTTATACTATAATCTTTGCTCTGGAAACTGCGCGAGATATTCCCGGTACGAGCAGCACAGTGCAGATCTTTTCTCAGTGGACTGATGTGACGCTTGCATGGCCGATAAATCGGATGCATCTCCATGTTACGGTCGATCGAACTGTCCTCGCCATTCCATCTTGAGCAGTCAAGATGGACAGATAGATTGCAGGGCGTCATGGACGGAATTCTCCGTGGCTAAGCAAAATCAGGGCCAGGGGAGAAGAACAAGGGGAGTTTGACCCATACGAGTCGCCCGCTACGGAACAAAGCGGCCGCGTGGATGCGACGGCAGCTTGAACATGGCATCCGTCAGCCATTAGAGTTGATAGATGGATATATAGATACAGGACCATCATAGAATGCCAAAACAGAACAGATATGCGATGGCTGGTGGCAATGCTTTTGTGGCAAATGCAAGCATAACATGCACTGTCAATCATCAAATAGTAGTAGTGATGAAGAAGTTGTTCTACCGTCTTTCACAAACTACCTAAATAACAATAATGATAATACAGATCACATCTAGATGAGACTGGATGAGAGCAGCTACTGAACCTAGTAATCACATCTAGCCTACAGTGATACAACATTGATACGGGCGTGGGTACATGATGCGTTACTTACCTGAGATATCCCATCAAATGAATACTAGCTCTAGTTAAACCGCCCCTTCTTGGGGCCCGTTAATATTAGTACACTGCGACCTGGTATAACAAATGCTTGCTCCTACGCTCCTCTTCATGATGCCCTCCGAGCAGCCCTTTTCCGGCCACGTCTGACGTAAGTTGGTTTAGGGTCTTCCTTTACTGGTTCAACTGAATCCTTCCCAGCGCCGTTTTCGACAGACTTACCATCCGCCTGTTTCTCTGAAACTGTTCTCGCGCCGTTATCGACGGAGTTATCAGCTGAAGCATCAGCTGCAGAGTTGATCAACTCATTATTGTTGGGAGGCACAGCACTGCTCGAGTTAGTGCAGCTGGGATTATCATTGCCCGAGGATTCTATCCCTGAGTTGCCGTCTGACCGATCCAAAAGACTGCGGCACAAAGACACAATTAATGCCACACATCTAACTGCACATTACTCTACAAATAGTACTCCCTCCATCCCAAAATAACTGACTCAACTTTGTGAGTTTGTGGACGGAATATAAAATGGTTTGCACATATCACATTACCCGTTGGCAGAGATTTTCTTGGTAGGCCCATTTAAACTCGTGTGGACCTTTTTCTTTAGGGAACGCAAACTCATCCGGATCTGGGGGGCTGCATCCTTTGCTCTTGATTCTGGAACAGTTCCATAATCAGCAAAGCCATCATAAGCGTGAACAGTAGCAGCTATCAATTTACAACAATAGAAATAAATCACAAACACAGAAATCAAGTTAAGCAAGGGACGATACTGTATGGAAAAGGTTTCTGCTTTAGCTCTACTCCAGCTATTTCAGACAAGATTATTCAACTAACATTCTAACAAAAATAAGCCCTGCCGGACATGGTTGATCTGTTGAGGGGATGCTTAACAAAATTCTTCATGCTCAAAGTAAGTTTACCATATATGGCCCGAAAGGACAACTCAAGCCATTAATAATGAGACGGTAGTTTTGGAAAAATTGTTAACCATGGATAACATCGCAAGTTACAACAGTGTTGCTGCTTCATGAGGTAGGCCGGCGCCTAGAGCTCTTTACGTGCATGGACTACTTCTGTAGGTCGTAAACTATGTAAGCGCCTTAAATATAGTTGTTTCAATTGGAGGTTGGATTCTCAATTGGAGGTCATTTCTTGCATTAGAGATGCCCTTTATGATTTCTACCAATTATTCACAAGTTCCAGCACACCTCAAGCTCCAGAAGAGCCTAACCAACGAATCAGTTTGCAACCAATTCAAAAGTTTAAATCAGCTAGAAGACTGGAAACGATCTTATTTTAACAAAAACTATCCAAACCACCAGTTAGAACAGTTCATTTTCAGTCAATTTAATCAGCCATAACTGCATCCAATCTTAATAAATTTAGGTCACAGGAATCGGCTACTGCTGGTTGGTTAAAGTAACCGACTTCACTATGCCTGACAAGCAAATGCCAATGCTTGAAATAAAAAGACACATGTTTGTCTACATAAGTCGGTGCCCTTTTGGGTCCGCCCACTCGCCGAGGCCTTGCAGAGCTTCTCACGGGACCCAACAAATGGATGATGTGCCTCGAGTCCCCGTCCTG